CTCTAACTCTCAGAGATCAGCTGTCTCTGCCTCCCTAGTGCTGGGATTAAAGGTATGTGTCACAGCTCAGCCCAACCCTCTTTTTCAAGGGGATCTCACTAAGTTGTCCTTTATAGTTCAGGCCACCCTTGTATTTGTTACCTGCTTGACTTGGCCTCCCCACAACTTGGGCCAGCAGGTCCAACCTTTTTTTTTTTTTTTTTTCAAGACAGGGTTTCTCTGTGTAGCTTTGGAATCTGTCCTGAAACTGCCACCAAGCTGGCCTTGAACTCACAGAGATCTGCTTGTCTCTCCCTCCCAAGTGTTGGGTTTAAAGGAGTGTGTCCCACTGCCTGAGGTCCAGCCTTTTTTGTTTTTCTGTTTTTTGTTGTTCTAAGATGTTCTCATGTTGTAGCTCAGGCTGCCTGAAACTCTCCACCCTCAGACCCTGCCTCCTGAAGGTTGAAATTACAGCTATGAGCCTTGCTGCTTACCTTGCTCCCTAGCTCTAATGTTCCTCTGGAAATGAAATAACCCACAAAGCTGTAGTCACAGGTGGCAGGTGCACGCTTTTATAGGCTGTAATAAGAGGAGATGGTGTCAAAAGTGGGTAGCAGGGCCTGCGTGCTCTCTGAGGCTGGGGCCGTCTTTGCTCAGATAAAACAGAAACACCCTGAGAGCCCTGGCTGATCACCCACTGGTGATTAAGTGAGTACATGCTGAGATTGTTGAACTAGATAATAGATAACATGGCAAGGTCTCCTAAACAATATTCCAGAAGGTAAAGGGACAATGTGATGTTTGGTAAACCTCTGCTGCAGCATTCGGAAGGCAGAGGCAGGCAGATCTCTGTGAGTTCAAAACCAACCAGCCACAAATAGACAAAGCCAGGCCTGGTGACTCACAATTGTAACCCCAGCACCAGGGAGAGAGAAATCCTTAAGGGTTGATGATTAGCCAGTCTAGTTTTCTTAGTCCCAGACCAGGAAGAGATCTGTCTCAAGCCAAATCAGGGCTGGAGAGATGCCTCAGTAGTTAAGCGCACTGGCTGTTCTTCCAGAGGACCTGGGTTTGATTCCCAGCACCTCTGAGGCAGCTCACAACTATCTGTAATTATAGTTGTAAAGGATACCACACCCTCTTCTGACCTCTCACCATATCAGGCAGGCATGCAAGTAGTGTACAGACATACATGCAGGCAAAATACTCATACACATAACACTTTCAAACTGAAAAACAAACAAGGTAGATAAACTGAACAATGCCTAAGGTTTGATACCTGAGTTGACCTCTGGTCCTAACGTAAGATTGGGTTTTAGCCAGACATGGTGTTGCAAGCCTGTAATCTCAGTACAAACAATACTCAGGAAGCTGAGGCAGGAGGTATAGATTTGAGGTAATCATATTGAAATCCTTTTTTACATATTGAAATCCTGCATATATATAAAAACAAAACAAAAAAACAGGCACCAGGTGGTGGTGGCACACACCTTTAACTCCAGCACTCAGGAGGTAGAGGCTAATCTACAAAGTGAGTTCCAGGACAGCCAGGACTATTACACAGAGAAACCCTGTCAGATAGGTCAGTAGTTAAAAGTGCTAGCTGGGGGCTGGAGAGATGGCTCAGTGGTTCATAGCATTGGTTGCTCTTGCAGAGGACACAGTAAGCATAAACACATGGCCACTCACAACAATTTGTAACTACACTACAGTTCAGGGGATCTGACGCTCTCTTTTCCCTCCATAGGCACCAGATATATGTGCAGTGCATATACATACATGCAGGCAAACATTCAATTAATTTTTTGTTTGATTTGTTTTGAGACAGGGTCTCTGTGTAGCCTCGACTATGTAGACCAGGCTGATATCAAACTCACAAAAGATTCACCTTCCTCTACTTCCTAAGTGCTAGGATTAAAGGTATATGCTACCATACCTGACTTAAAATTAACAGGCAGGCAGGCAAATAACAACAAATAAACTACCTCTTAGTGACAAGAAGCCCGATCTTCCCCTCCCCCCCCCTTTTTTTTTTTTTTTTTCAAGGAAGGGTTTCTCTGTGTAGCCTTGGAGCCTGTCCTGGCACTTGTTATGTAGACGAGGCTGGCCACAAATTCACAGATCTGACTGCCTCTGCCTTCTGAGTTCTGGAATTAAAGGCATGTGCCACTGTCACCTGGCTAAGAAGTCCTCTTACTAGGATCCACCCTTGATGTTCCTGGTCCAGTAGCATACCAGCAGACAGCCATGCCTGCAATAAGACAGTGTCTATAAAGAACATTCCAGGTCACACTAGAGATATTCATCTCTGCCTTGTCTAAGGTGCTAGTATTTTCTTTTACTGAGATCTGAGATCTAATTTCTTTTCTTTTGTTTGTTTGTTTGTCTTTGAGACAAGGTTTCTCTGTGTAGCTTTGGAATCTGTCCTTGTATACCAGGCTGGTCTCAAACTCACAGAAATCCGCCTGCCTCTGCCTCCCAAGTGCTGGGATTAAAAGTGTGTGCCACCACCGCCCGGCTCTGATTTCTTTTTATGTGTATGGGTGTTTTGTATACATGTGCATATGCATGATGTATGTGCAGCTTAATTCTCTGGGACTGCAGTTACGGGTTGTAAGCCACCATGTAGGTACAGAGAATCAAACTTCGGAACTCTGAAAGAGCAGTCAGTACTTCTAAGCACTGAGCCATCTCACCAGCCCCCAATATTTTAATTAATTTTTACATGTATGGGTGTTTTGCCTGTATTTGTCTATGTACCATGTGTATGCCTGTTGCCTATGGAGGCCAGCAGAGGGTATCAGATCCCTTGGAACCTCAGTTACAGATGGCTGTTAGCCATCACATAGGTGCAGGGAATCAGACTCAAGTATCCTGAAATGCTCTTAACTATTGAGCCATCTCTCCAGTCCTAGGCACCAGTATTTTAAAGACAACCTAAAGGTGCTTTAATAGAGAACCTGTAAATGAGTAACAGCATGAGAAGAACATCACTTTGAAGAGCCAGCTCGAAGTGAATGGTTCACCCCAGCAGAAACCGACAGTCACTTCTGCTGCATCCTAGTGCAATAAAAGGCCTGGAAGTGCTTGTATGTTATAAAGTGCAAGGCACAGGATGGACAGGTATGCGTGCTAGAGGAAGCAGTGAATGTCCAGGCAGTGCCTCCTCAACAGCTGTGGTGCCAACGGGTCCAGCATGGCCACAGAGGTAGCCATGTGTCCAGAGTGTCTATAGCAGCCTGTCTTCAGGAAGCCCTGGCTCAGGCAGGTGCCAGCCTGGGCTTGAAAGAGGTACTTTGTACTGACAGTGGTCAAAGGGAGACCAGGAAGAGTGGTTTGAGCAAGGACAAGTGATCCATTTGGGATATCTTCACCCTGTTGGGGTTGTCCAGAGTTTAATGGGATATGTTATGTGGGCAGAGCAACTTCTCTGAGGGGGGTAGGTACCAAGGAATTGGAAAGAAGAAACACCAGCTCAAAGAAAGCCTCTGGGAAGAGGTGTTCAATGAGCGCCTGCCTTCAGGCCTCAGTAGCCCCCTAGGGTAGGGAGAAGGGGCCCAGGGTGATATATTCCAAAGTAAGCCTTGCCCTTTGCAGCCCACTGCCCTACAGACTCACTCACAGGTGGAGCCATGAGCCGTTCCCCTGTGCTAAACAAACACCAAGTCAAAATGGGCTCAGAGAGCTGTGGAAGAGAAGTGGCCAGAGAAGGAACCCACTTCAGCTTCTGTACTTCATGAATGCAGGGGCCCTTCTTGCTGGCTGACAGGTTTTTGTTATTTTTTTTCTTTCTTTCTTTCTTTATTTCTTTTGGTTTTTCAAAACAGGGTTTCTCTTTGTAGCCCTGGCTGTCCTAGAACTTGCTCTGTAGAGCAGGCTGGCATCTAACTCAGAGATCTGCCTGCCTCTGGCCTTCTGTCCCAGTGCACTGTGATCAGCAGTCCAGGTTGATGGTGCACATGGGGGGGGGTGGAGGGGGGGACTGTCATTGTGGAGTTCCTGGATGTCCATTTGGTTTCAGGGTCCCACAAAGGCCAGGGAAGGATCACCTGAGAAAAGGGAGGGGCTGGTTGGGACTGTAGACACACGTAGCCCATAAGGATCAGGGCACGAAGGAGGACCTAGGACTTCTTACCTGTTCCCTGGAAAGCCCACATGATGAATCTATGGCCCACACATACCCAAGTAGGACGTCTCTGCCCCTCCCAGCCCCATGCAGGTGAGGACACCAGCCCAGCCTTTATATTGTAACAGTTTATTTCAAACTCAGCCTCCACTCAGGCCCAAGGTCCCTACAGCCACTGGCCAGGTGAGGGCAATGTTTCCTTAGAGCCCACTGCAGCCTTCTGGAAACCTGCCCGCCAGTTGTCACCACACCGAGGGGCAAGCTGGGGCCAGACCCACTAAGGAGGGGCTGCGCAGCAGGTCTTCCTGCAGGCAGTGGATGACTGTCACCCACTGGGCAGTTCTACTCTACCTGTGTTATTGCATTTATACGCTGTTAGACTCAAGGGGGTGTTGGGTGCAGGCAGGCAGGGCAGTCTGTTGAGGGGTTTTGGGCTGGCGCAACTGTAATGTGGATCCTCCATATTTCCTACCTCCCTGCCAGGCTTTCAGCCCCCCACCCCTCCAAAAGAAAAAAGAAAAAAAAAAAACAAAACAAAATTGCTGCTCTGGGTATGGAGTAAGGTGGACCTGGCCTCAGGAGCTCTCCCGGGGCACATATTGAAAAAGGGAAGAGGGGATCCCACCCCAAATTTAGTTGCTAAGCTTTGCGTTTCCACTCAGCCAGGATGGGGACAGTGGGTGGAGGTAGCTCTGCAGATTTGAATTCCCACCTCAGTTCAGTCTCCCTGCAGCAGGCCCAGACAGACTGCCCCCAGCTGCACAAAAGAGAAGTGGAGAGAGTAAAACAGCCATGCCCTTACATGTCCCTACAGGGCCAGCCTACTCCACCACTTATCCTTCAGAGACCATACCCAGCATCTGTTCCTAGTGGTTTAGTCCAGGCTATCCCCTCTGCCCCACGCTAGTACATCCTGCAAACTGCAGAGCTGGGCTCTTGCCCCAGGACTTGGGAAAGAATGTGCTGGGGTCAGTGGAGGTGGGCTCTCTGTCTGTCTCTCTCCTGCTGCGTGGATGTATGTAGCATACATATACATGTGTGTATATGTGTGTGTGTATGATGTATGTGTGTATGTATAGATAAGTATCTAGGACCTTGCATGCACTATATATTCAGGTCTGTACAGAAAGTGGCTCTGTGCCCCCACCTGGACACCAGGCATCATTTTTTCCGGGCTAGGAAGACCACACCAAGAATCAGGGCCATGGTGGCCACAGCCACACCCCCAGCCACTAGCAAAGGGGTCAAGTTCTCACAAGGCCAGGGACCTCGGCCTCCAGTGTTGGACTCATCCTCCTCTGCCCCATCCCCAGGACCCTTTGGCTCTGAGGTTGCATCAGGACTGCTGGGGGCTGCAGGCACTGCGGGAGCTGGCTTCAGGTTGCTGTGATTGTTGAGAAGTACAGGATCTGCCTTGGCCGGTGTCTTCTTGGTAGTAGCCGGCCCAGAGGCTGCTGGCTGCTCCTGCTTCTCAGTTTGGGTGTCCTTCTTCACAGGCTTGGTCAAGGGAGCTTTCCCATCAGCAGCTGGAGTGGCCTTGGCCTCAGCTGTGGCCTGAGGCATCTTGGTGTCTGGCTTGGGGCTGCTGGCTGACTTTCCTCGGGACTCCATGACGATTTGGTGTCTGGCTTGGGGCTTGTGGGACTGGCAGGCGGATAGATCACAGTGTCTCAGGACAGCTCACCTCTGGGCATTATATGGGTCTAGAGGGAGACAGAAATGAGGTGGTAACAGGGAAAAAACACCTATTTATCTTACCTGGTCTTGCCTCCACCCCTTGGAGATACCCTTCTCAATGCCCTGGACTCTAGCCCAGCTTCCTGTGAGCCCAGCCCCTCCCCTTCCAAGGGCTGGCCTCTATTTGCTTCTGACCATTCTTGGAGAAGCCCCTCCAACTACTGAGACGCTGGGAGGGGGAAGGACCAGAGGCCTCAGTTTCCCAGTTTCCTCTCCTATAGTCTGGTCTTGCTTTACCCCACACTGTTATAGACATGGCTCTAACCCTGGAAACTGAAAGAGAGTATTTGCTCAAGGGAGGCAGGAAGGAGTCATGGCAAGCTCTGACAGCTGAGCACCGCATGCTGTCTTAGGGGCTTGTTGCTATTTCACAGAATGGGATGGGATGGGCCTTAGTCTCAACCTGACCAGAGTCTGAGAGGAAGGGAAGGAGCCCAGGGTCTGGGTCCTCAGATCCTGTCAGGGGGAGAGTGAGTGGATTCAGGTCACCAGGACTATCAGGACAAGAAAGTGATAAAATGGAGGCAGAGAAGCCATTTGGGAATCTGGTAGCCTGTGTGTGCTTCTGGTCAGCCATCTGCCCCACCCAGCTTAGATCTAGTGCCCTTTCCAGTACAGGCCTCTGCTTCATCCAGCTCAAGGACAAGCATTCCTGGCTGTGCTATGGGAGTGGAGTGACAGAGTATGGCCCCCAGGCTGTAGAAAGGCCTCACCTTGATTCCCTGTGTCCTAGCTAGGGAGACTGGGGCCAGGCTACTCTGCCCCACAGTGGTTCCTGTCTGGAAGACCCAGGACCACCTGTCTGCCTCCACCCTGGAAGGACAATCGCCTGTATGCAGGGAGGGGGAGCCACTTGGAGAAACCAGATCTCAAGCTCTAAGCCCCCCACCAGGCAAAATGAACATAGTGAAGGTCATTTGAAGGTCATGTCATGATGGAGATGACCAGTGGAGAAACCCAGATGCTGCCCACCTCCCAGAAAACCCCAGAGTCCCCTTTATGCCACAGTTCTAGAGAGACCTTAGCCATTGGGCATCAAGTTTGCACAGAGCAGATTTCCCCACCCCGGTTATTTTTGGCTTTCACTTATATCCCGTTCTTCCAGTTACCTCCTCTGCCTTCCCAGGGCTGCTGAGCCTGGGAGAGTACGGTGTTCACAGCACAACCCTGGTGACCTTCAGGGCCAAAGCACTACTGCTTGGCCACCAGACCCGGTGCCCCCAACCCCACCCCACTTCCCCATCCCAACCTGCCCTTGGAAGGGCCTGTTGCCTTACGTCTTCCTTCGGGCCTCCAGCTTCTCGCTGCGCACTCGCTTCGCGGGTGGGATGACAGCGGGCGGCGGCTGCGGATACCGAGGAATGCTCAGGAGTTTCCCACAATGCACCACTCCGGGCGCAGGACCGGAGGACCAGAGGCAAGGGGAGGGGCAGGTTAGCAGCGACAGCGGCTGCGTCAGCGGGGCCACGCCTGCCTGCTCCACCCTGGGAACCCTGGAGTGGGGTCGGGTAGAGTGTCCCTAAGCCTAGCTCTACTTCTCACATCTAAGGAGGCTGAACCAAAAGACCAGGCAAGGTTACCTGCCTGCATCCTATTCAGACTGTGAGGTAGGAAGGAGGAGGTTCCAAAGTGGGTCTGCAAGGGTGGAGACCTGGGCAATGCTAGTCTGCAGAGGAGAGAGCCTGGCTAATGTGGCCACCCTCTCCTCACTGTTCCACCCATAAACAGACTCTGAAAGCAAGCATCTATTTAGAATATTTATTTATCTTTTACATGACAAGACACAAAAAGTTACAACTTCTTAAACTCTTCAAAAGAAAAAAATATAATTCTTTAAGCAGGAGCAGCAGCTTCCAAGGTACAGATATGGTAGGAGGGGAGGCTCCCAGGAGCAACCGTGAAGTAGGGATGGCCCAGGCTTGAGCCCCAGGTAGTGTCACTGGGAAGGGGCCTCCACGGAGGGGGTTGGGCTTGAGGGACACAGCACCAGCACTTCAGTCAATCACCAAACACAATCACATGGCCAGGGCAGGGGAGAAGGACTGCTTTGATTCAGAACAGAGGATCCAGGGCTGGGGGTGGGGTGGGAGTGGGGGGGGCGTGGCTTTCCCAATATGGACAGAGGCCCAGAAAGCTGGGTGGCCCAGGCTCCATACTGGCCTTCATGCCCACCCTTTCCCCACAAGCAATCTCTGTTCAGGAGTAGGGCTCTATCAGAAGAGCCACCAAGCTGGAGAACTAAATTAATGGACGGGGTCAGCAAAAGACCTGAGGCACACACAGCACACAAGCATGGGATGCCTGACTCCACAGGGAAAGGCAAACTGTGCCCTTAAGGGCCTATCCCCATGCAGCCTGGTCAGCCAACTGCTTGGCGGTGGGGGCAGGGCAACCTGCCCCATCACAGGCACACAAAGACCTCAAGCATTCTGGGTCCCACAGAAGGTGGGAGCCCAAAGGCTCACCAGGAAGAGTATGTGCGGGGTGCCTGGAATCAGAATTGATGTGGCAACACACCCAGCCTAGGAATCCTAGCTTAACATGAGGATGGAACATGCCAGTCCTCCTGTAAGGCTGACTGGGGAGGCAGAGTGGGATCCTGGTTGAGGCAGAAAGAGCAGCAGGGGCAAACAGACTGATGGACGGAGGACAGGCCGAGCCACGTGGGAACAGCAAATTCAATAAATAATTTTGTATGGGTGGGTTCCCTTTGTAGACCAGGAGAGCCTCGGAGACTGGAGCCAGTGGACTACAGGGTAGGGTCTGTCTGCCCAAACCAGGCCTGGGTACCCCAGCCCAGAGACCAGCTCTGTCTCAGGGGGTGTTCAGGCCAGGTGAGACTAGATTGGGGTACAGGGATAGGACAGGACTGGCTCAAAAGGACTGGCTTGAGGAATGTACAGAATTCTGCATTTTCTACATAAATAAGACCTTGATCCCAATTTTCTGTCCCTCAGGACCCCATGGGGGCCTATGTGTGCACCACCCATGTGGACCCTGCACCCTCCCCCTGCCTTCCTGTTTGATGGGGAGGACTGGGGAGAGACCAGTCCTCAGGCTTGTGCTGGTCACCCTGTTCTGGCCCCAGCTCGTAGGCTGGGGAGAAGCGGCCATAGGCCTAGGCCTGAGGTTCTTGCAGCAACCCCAACAGGGACTCAGCGATGCCCAGGAAGTAGACCACCTGGGCGATTCCGAACAGCGGGGCGATGACCAGTGCACGGCAGTATGCGCCTTTCAGGAAGGCTGAGGGGCCTTCATGCCTCCAGATCTTCCTGTAAAAGAGGATGGTCAGAACTGGCCCAGCGCAGCTCAGCCCAGCTCAGCCCCGCTCATGGGACCTGGCCCCACCTGGCACAGTCCAGAAACCCGGAGTAAGTGTCTTCATTGACGCCTCGCTCAAGTGACTGAAGCCGAGTCTTCACCACTACAAGGGACATATGAGTCAATTTGGTGTCGTGGCCTTGTGCCCTCCCCCACCCCCCACTGGGGTCCAGACCTAAGCACTGACCATCACAGGGGTTGACAGCCACAGCGGCTGCACTCCCGGCCACACAGCCTGCCAGGAAGGACACATAGAAAGGTGACTTCTCCTCAGAAGATGGGCGGCCCAGCTGGTTCAGGTTGGCAAACAGGGGGAAGTAGACAATGGAGAAGGGGACATCCCTGTGGAGAGAGAGGGAGGGAATGATGTTGATGGTAGGGGCTAGCCCGCAGACCTCTTCTTCCCAAAAGCCCATCTTTCCACCTGAGTAGTGTGGCCCCCAGTCCCTTGTAGAGGCCAGCAATGCCGTGGTTCCGCAGCAGGTCACGGGTCAGCTGGGTGGCTGTGGGCCGAGGAGCAGCTGGAGCCTGTACTGAGGGCTGGGTACCTCCCTGGGCCGAGAGCTGAGCCTGGGCAGCCAGAATCTTCCTCTGAGCAGCTGGTGAGAAAGGATCTCTGGTCTCTTCCTCCTGGCTTGGGGAAGGGTCAGGGGACAGGGTCTAGCTGTTGTCCCCACCCAGGTTCTGTCCCCTCCCTGTACCTTACCAATTCGGCCTGCATCTTGCAACTGGATCTTCAGCATCTCCATGGGGGTAGTCACAATCACTTGGCAGGTGCCAGCCCCGCAGCCTGCCAACATCTCCTTCGGCAGGGTCAGCTTCTGTCTATAGGGCAGGGGCAGGGCTGTGATTGAGGTGAGAAGGAACAGCTCCCTACATGGGGCAATGACTCCCTGCTTCAGAGGTGTAAAGGGGGAAGGGAACTATGGAGGTCTCATGGGGCACAGCCCTGGGCTCCAGACCCTCCAGCAATAGGCATCCAGCCCAAAGGACAGATGATCAAGGGCTCATAAAGAGAAATGAGAAATAGAAGGGGCCAGTCCTGTAGGTCTATACTCCAGCGATGGGGTGGCTACTTAGTGCCCCCAAATTCTGGCGGCAGACAGTGGCTAGGGTCCAACAGCCACTGACTCAGCAACTGCTTTGTACCTCCTCACGTGGGCGGCAGGGAAGTGCCGGCCCTCACAAGGTCAGGGATGTTGAGCAAAGGGACTGAGGTAGAAGAGCCTCTGGGGGTCTGATACCAGCCTAGGGGACTGCTGGGCAGAGGTGGGATTAGCAACACACCCTTCCTTAGGACCGGGGCCCCAGCAGCCAGGGTGGCTGAGCCTCTCACCCATCCTTAGAGAGCTGATGTCTGAAGAAGTCATTAGCTGCCAGCTTGATGGCCTTCTCGGGGGTGACCAGGGTCAGGTTTACTGCTGCTCCTGTGGGGCATATGAGGGTTAGCTGAGGCTTGGGGGACACAGGCAGGTCAGGTGGGGATTGACTTACTGGGTAGCTTGGGTTAGGGAGGTTTGGGATAGCACTTTGCTCCACACTGGCAAAGCCCTGCCTGGCACTCCTTGGCTGCAGCTTCCTGCCCTCTCACCCACATATAGGCTTGTTTTGTGCCAGGCAAGCGGGAACCAGGCAGGATGGGGTGGCGCTGTGTCCTCCCTCTCTTCCCCTCCCCTGAATTCCACATCCATCTGTCTGCTTTTGGCAGATCACGCCTCTCCTGGAAGCCAGTGAGGAGCAGGCTCCCAGAGACTGCAATGAGCCTCCTTCCTGGGGACAGGTGCTCCCACTGGTGGGAGCTCAGTGTGGGTCAGGGCTCAGGGAAGGCTGTTGAGGGCTCAGTATCTGGGCAAATCCACCCTCAGGGATTGTTTTCTAAGCTGCTTTGCATAATGGCCCCTGCCCTACTCTCTAGGCACAGATGTGGTCCTGTCACATAATAAAGTAGTGGAGGAGATCTGAACCACTAAGAGAGAAAAAGAGACACACCCTGTCCTGCTCTAACAGTAGAGGCTAGGAGAGTGTTCAAGTGAGGGTTGAGACCCACCACCCTGCAGAAGAAATCCTCTCAAACATCCAATTCCTACACACACTAAAGGTTGGCAGATGCCCCCATTGTGTTCTGGTGCTCCAGCAACACATAACACGTCCATACTTATGGACCAAGCCCAGGCATGCATCCCTGACTCGACTCCCAGCCAGACCCGCCTGTCACCCAACGCAACCAAGCCTCACCCCTGTACATGCCGAAGTAGCCCTCAGAGCGGATGGTCTTGATGAGGCAGTCAGACCTGTAGCCAAGGGAATGGCAATAAGCTGAGGCCAGCTGGACCCTGGCCCTGAGTCAGGCAAGGGCAGCCAGGGCTTTCTCTGCCCAGTATGATATTCCAGGGCTCACAGAGAAGCCAAATACTCTGCTGGGGATGGGGATTGACTGTCCCTCAGGTCTGCCCTACCCTGTGCCCCCTTTATCAAACCCAGGGCTGCAGGAGTGGAGATCAGAGGTGGAAGCTGTGCCCTCCTCCCTCCTATGCTGTTCTTACTCACATGCTGGCATACATGCGCTGGCCATTCTGCTGGTTCTGCAGGCGTGTCTTAGCCAGGTCGATGGGGAACACACAGGTGACCCCGATTAGCCCAGCGATGCCACCATTGATGAGCTTGGCCGGCAGGCTGTGTATGCAGCAGGGTCAAGGGTCAGGACTAACATCCTCAACCACAGGACATGGGGATGGGGAGGTCATGCTGGGGAGGGAGTGAAAGCCAAGACTGAAGCCCAGGGCTTGGGGTCCCTCTGACCTGATCTGCTTATCAGCCATTTACACCACGGGAAGCAGGAGGCTGACTCAGGCCAGGCGATGCAAGTGGAAGTTCTGATGGGGAGGGGCTGGTGAGGACAACGTGGGTGGCTGGTGGTGGTGGCTGATGGTGGGGGAGGGGATGTCCTCACCTTCAGAGTGATTTCAAGACTTCTGCCACCTGAAAAAAAGAAAGGGACAGAATGAGTGAAAGACGGGGGCCTATCAGAGAAAGGAGCCTCCCCACCCACCGACCACCCTACAAGGGTAGGAAGCCCCACACTCCCTAGACCCCATCCAGCAGGCTGCAGCCATCAAAGTGCC